CTTCACCTTCGGTTCAAGGAGCAGAGGAAGTAGCAGTAAGGGAAGAGGATTCAGTCACGCATCTCCTGAAGAACTTCAACCTGAATGAGTCCTTGAGATGAGATGGGAGGCACCCAAAGGTGCCGAGCAAGCTGGCAGATGGCATGGGGACGGCACGGCGCTCCATCCCCTCACRGAGCCAGCGGGTTGGGATGCTTCACTGCTTGATGGTTGAAAAACTGGTTGGCTTTTGTTTGTGACTCGGAGAGATCAGTTTACAACAACTGAAATGGAAGGTTTCAACTTCATATGATGCAAAGTACTTTCAGAAATACATTTCCAAAGTTTTAGAATAATGCAGCGAAACAAATACATTTTGCATTTTCAAGACTACCATTTTTGCCACACTAGGTTATGGCATACTAGCTTAATTCACACCAATGTATGTGGAAATAAAAGTCTTTATTATCAGGGCACTCAAGTATCTAACAAGCCTACAGAAATTATTTTTAGTAACAGAGTTGCAGAATAAGGAAGGTATTGCTTAAAATTCGTCATTAAGTACCACAATATTAGTGCTACCAGGAATAGATATCCTATTCTTGATTATGTAATCAAGAAAAACTTTTGAAAATAATATTCAGAGTACAAACTACTTTTAATCAGCAGCTAAATACCAAGATACTGACACTGATTACTTTGTTCCTTTAATGACATCTGTAATGGAGTCCAAGTGCTCTGCTTGATTGCTTCCTCACTGATCAGGATCCTATTCATCACTTGGAGCTGCTGGAGTTCGGAGGTCTCTTGGAGCTCCTTTTCTGAAGCTTTCAGCACTGCCGCAGCTCTAAAGCCCCAGTGAAACAGTCACCCTTTACACACAGCTCGYCATGACAAAACACACTAGTCTGTTTTAATACGGCTGAAGCTTGCTAGTCATTTAAAAGGCTATCCTCAATTTGAGAAACTAAGGTAAGTGTAAGCCCAACTAAGTATTATTAAACTTAAATCAACGACTTGTTGTATGCCATCTCTGACTTTTGCCTCATGGGGAAAAAAAAAAAAAAAGAAAAAAAAAAGTGTTTTAAATCCTTTTCATCCTTCCTTTTCTTGAACTAACATGGTAAAGGCATTGACACAGTAGCCGAGAGAGACTCCACTGAGGGGAAACTTGAAAAGACTACACAGCCATATCACTATAATAAACATGCTTTATGAGGACCTAAACATCCCTGGCTAGAACATACTGAAATTAATCCAGGAAAAGAAATACTAGCTCTGGTTTTCACTCCTCCAAATACTTACGCATTCAAGAAATCTGAAGAGCTACTGRCTGTAAAAGTTCTCATATTCTCTGTATTTGAGAAGCACAAAATCTCAGGCACAGTATTAGTACCGGCCTCAGTGCAGAGAGACTTGTGCCAGTGACACTGCCATAAAGCGGATCCTTTTCATCACAGGTGCAGAAATACATTAGGATTTCATTAAGAGAAGGAAGTTAASAGTTTATTTGTTCATAACAAGGAAATTACCTTAATCCCTACAATTTCGCATGGAACGTAGCAGAAAACTAGAAAATGTGACTGTTGTTCCAAGACCCCCAAAAATTATCACTGCAAGAAACATGGGAAGGTTGCAATTCTAACCTCAGGGGATTTCCATTTTGATGATGTGTATGCAACAAGTAAGTTCTTATGGAGCCAACATCTTGGTTTCTCAATGCCAAATCTTGCAGTGTCTCAAACAAAAATAGCTATTAACAAGCCAGATCAAAGAAACTGTTGATAAATATCTTGGTAAGGTATTTTAAAAGCAAGGCGTGAGTTGTCTCACTTCAGAATATATTTTCTTTGTATTTTATTTGACACTTCTATKTTGATGGTGTTTTTCTTCCAGGGGCTAAGTGAGAAAACAAGTGACAATAAAGATGTTCTGAAAAGCTCTATATGTCACTTTCTCCAAAATATACAAACAGCTTAATTTAAAGCATTGTTTAAGCATTTTTAAATCCCTGTAAACAAGCCTACTTGGAGCTGTTTTCCATAAAGCACCTTTCTGACTCGGGACCTGTACCTGCCTCCCCGGGCAGCTCACTGAAGGCTGAACCACAGGCCCGTCCTGGCTGCAGGAGGAGYCACTTCTATCTCTGTCTTTCTGCAGAGCAAGACAAACAGCTGACTATCAAACTGTCTCTACATGTCTACCCACTGACAGAACAGCAAGTCATGTATATAAATACAAAMGTAGAAGTGAATTGTTCCAGGTGAAGATTCTAAAATCCCTTGTAGTAATGTATTTCCTTAACTATTTCACAACTACCTGAGACTGGTTAAAGAATATAAATTTTAAAACCAGCAATATTAGAACTTGAACAACTTATTGCTTACCTGTAGTACTTGCAAATTGCAAGCTACATTTACAGTGGGAAAGCAGGCCCAGGCCCACATGGGCCAAGTGAGGCAAAGAACTGCTCTTTCTTGCAGTTCTTTGAAAATTGCTATAGGCTGCCTCAAATATTTCTACAATGCACAGCAAATGTATTGCAAGGAATGCAAGTGATCTCAGCAGCACAATCTGTTCAGTTTCTTTTACATGTTTGTTAGTAAAATATGATACCATTTTTATTCTAACAGATTTGTATTTAAAATATTATGGAAATATCAGACACAGACTAGTAAAAGGCATAATAATGACTAGAGAAATCTGTAACAAAAAACAACAACAACAACAAAAAAAACAGTTTGCGGCACTTGAGTTTCTGTGTATTTCCAGACTCATTTATCATAGCAGTCATTAAGTACCCAACAGAAGCCAGAAATTTATTCAAGCTCTCTGTAGCTGGCACTCTGTTAACTGAAAATGCCTTCTAATAATATTTAAGGTCAATGCAGACAAAAATATTTAGACAGAACTCTTTGCATTGTTTTAGGAACTCTTGATAAATATTYAGGAGAAATTGAAGTTTACTTAAATTCTTGGATTACTTAATTTCGTTTGTACAAAATTTCTTCTCAATAGGACGCAGAACACTTATGCCCATAGTTCCCTCGTCACTTATAAGGGATCCTAAAAGCAACAGCACATTTGGATCACTGGCACAAACTGAAAGTCTAGTGGGAGGCAAGATGCTTCTCCGGAAGAGATTAGCTTATGATTCTGGCTGAGCTGTTTGGAACCGACGCTTCCAAAATTAATGGACCAAGAAAACCAGTAAAGTTCAAATAAGCAGATATAAAACATGAAGAACCTACCGAGGTTGCAGACAACAGATTCTAGTAAAGATACATTCTSTGGGGTTTATATTGTTCTATCCCGGAAACTGTTCTGACCTATAATAATGCCAGTGAATTTGAGGCCCAGTTAAGGTTTCAAATTCCAATTTTTTGATAAAGAAGGAACTAGTGAAAAGTCTCTATCAGAGACTCAAAACCATACTGTGCAAACAAGAACCAAGCAGCACAATATTGGGTGCAAAGCAATGTGTAAAGCAAAGCACAGAAGACACTATGTTAACAAGTCTGCTTGGTAGATCACTCTGCTGTCAACTCCATCACTAAAGCTGTTTGCAGGTCTGCTTGTTATCAAAGCTGAGAAAGAGAAGATATTTCTCTTATAGATGCTTCTGAGACCACATGTCAACTGGTAACTGGTAAGATCATTGTTTTATTCATTCCCAATAAGAACTTTTATTTAAAGTGGAAGGTGAGAGATCTTTCTGTCTTATATTTAGGATACGAAAGCTTGTTATCTGTATCAGAAGTTAAACAGGACCTATTAGGAAACTTGCATCTCTCGCTTAACTGAATTTTAAAATGGTTYTTGAACTGTATTATGATCTAATGGGTCTATTTCTGATTCAAAACCGTATTTTCTAAAAGAAGCCTGTAAGATCTAATGATGAAGTTAGGATAGAGCTGCTCTGCTTCTATCGCAGTGCAGGCTCAGGCATCCGAAGCTACTACCACAGCCTCCCTTTTCCTAGATCCATAGAGTCTGTTTTAGCACATGCGAATCTCGGGGAGAAAAATTCAACTTTAACGGAAGGAGTTCCAAGCGCCTCTCTGGAGCAGCAAAATGAAAAAAGGAACTTGAATGTAACCCCCTGCTCTCCTGTGACTGGGGATTCAGTTGTGATACTAAAGCAACCTTTTTAAAATTATGCTCAGTGGCATAACACAGCCTCCTTTTCATATACACTATGAAAAAGCAAGATGCAAAGTCAGCCTCAGTTTGAGTAAAATATCCCAACTTAAGAGAAAAGGGAGCGGCGGTGGCTTTGTGAAGAGCAGCGGCCCCTTGTCTGAGCAGCCACCTCGGCTTTGAAAGCAACACTCCCAGTAGGAGCACAATTCCTTCAGCARTGGAAAGGCAACCAGAGATGTTGGCCAACAACAAAGTAACGAACTATGAGTCTGTTTTACAGTTTTAATGGTAAAACTTTGCAACACACCTTCCTATATGTTCTGCTGTTTTTATTCTCTTAGTATATAAAAAYACACAAGTCCCAGTGCTAGAGCAACAGGACAGAAAGCTACAAGTTGAATTTTACAATTTGCTGACTTTCTGCATTTAAAGAATTCAAATATTGAAGTGGTTGAATTTAGATGGTGGAATTCAGACAATTCTCTGCGCTCTATCCAATTTTGGCACTCAAAAGACCATAGCTATTTTTTTTCTTAGCACTGTTTGCCCAATGGCTAGAGCGCCCATTTAGCTTCTGAAAGCAATTTGCTTAGAAGACAGAATTTTAATGTTTCCTCTAAGGACTTTTATTTCAAGGACAATTTCCTTAGGTCACCGAAAGAAACAGCAACAGAAGTACACAGCTGAACCGAATGATACAGGAAGCCAAATGAAAGCAAAATACTCACGAATAATTTGACAWGCATTTGTTTTCTCCAAACATGAAAATAGTGCAATATCAGATTCCATGAAAGAGCACTGTGAAGTCAAGGAAATGAAACCAATCTTGTTGCTAATCTGAACTATAAGGAAAACAGAGCTACTCCCAGTTGTCTTACCTGGCATTCCATGGATGAGATCTCCGCACAACACAAAGAACTTGGGCTTTGGGGTCAGCTTGTTGACAGCTTGCACTGCTTGCTCCGTTAACTTGATCTCTTCTCCCCACTCATCGCCTCCATTGCCACAGTCTCCAATGGCCCAAGCTTTCATCAGCCCAAACTGAGGATCTGCTCCTTGGATGAAGTAGAAAGGTCCCTTCCATTCATACTCCTCATCTAAACAAACGGAGAAATATTACGTAAACTTAGAAAAAGAGGACAAGAACTTCCAAGCATAAGTGAATCTTCACCAAAATAAGCCGTAGCCACTTTAAAGGTATATAATTCTGTGGAAACAATAGTGCATGAATATAAGAGCTGGGGTACAAACATTTCCTCTAATGTCTAGCTGCATAAGGATAAGTATATTAATCTAGTTGTATCACATAGCAATGGAAGTTTGACTTGAGGAAATGTGCAAGAAGAACACAGCAAACAGTGCTGCAAAGTTCAGGGTAGAGCACAACATATACCATTCGATTTTGGTTGATTCATCCACTTGAATTATTGCTCAGCTAACAAATTTAAATACACCCACACATTCTACGATGCTAGTAAATTTGTCCTTAAATTAAGGAGTTAAGAGCATTTTGTTCCTAAAATTTGGGGGAGAAGTTAGATCCAACAAATTCTTTAACTTGAAACTGAAGACAAAGAACAGAACCAAGGACAGGAAAAAAATAAATCCCAGAATTAGTAGTAACAATTAAAATGTTAATGGAGACCCTCCATAACAGCTCGATGCCTATACTGAAAAGACGGAAACTTAGAAGCAAATTTACCTCTGCAAAGGCGAAAGGAATAACACAATTTCTGCAGCTTTTCTTCCACTGTTTCTCTGTAATAAGATGTGCCACAAAAAAAAAAAAAACCACCCTGATTGATAGGACTGCCTTGACTGCAAGCACACTAAAGAAAAACACCGGGCAAATAAAGCTACATTTGGCTGCAAATGGTAAGCACAAACGAGTACGCAACCTTCTAGCCTGCAGTCGCAGTCCTCGGCAAGAAGCAAACACGAGTGCCCTGCGGTTTCTCCAGCTGCCCGAATGCACCGAGCTGCATCCTGAGTGCCGGCGTCTGCACAGCGGCGCTCGGCTCTCGCTGCTCGCCAGGCCTGTCTGACCTGCGGGCTGTTTTTTATTTTTACTGTTATTTTTAACAGCATTTCAATTGTTAAAAAGTCACTGCCTACATCAATCCATAGTTGAATCTGAAGAAAAAAAGAAAATGGTGATTTCAAATTAAAATATAATCCATAAATAAATTTATGTATTATGTCAGCCTGATCTGAAACACAGTTTGAGGTAATACTATATTAGTCCCCCATTAACACCACATAACCACAAGCTATGTCCACAGCATGGATTTTGAGTCCTTCTTTATAAGGTCAGGAGAAAGGGTCATCCTAGTGCTGATTCACTTGAATTTTAGCTTTCCTGGTTCCAGCCCGCCCTGTGCTTTGTAAGGAGGCAGCTGTGTTTAATTCAAGAAAAATCAGAAAACTTGGGTCAGAATTTGTCTCTCGTGCAGTGGACAGAGCCAGGCTGAGGCTGCAGCACTAGCGGCAGGTCCCAGGAGCTGCTGGTAACTGTAACGTGTTGCCATAACATCAGTTCCCACTGCCAAATGTAGGATTCTGCCTTTCATTTAATGTAATATTTAATTTCTAAATGAAATTATTTATCATCAGTTAACATTGTCTATTAATTGACAATAGCATTGCCTTGCTGTAAATAATAATCATATTTTATAGATGGGAAGTTTTAACCACTCATTAGCTTTTAATTCTGAAATGAAATTAACTTTTCCAATTACATAACTTATTCTATCCATGAGTTTTCATTAGAAGCCTTATGGAACTAGCTGAATGACAAAAAATCATTTATGTTTTTATCTTGTCTCTTGCATGGAAAATGAAAAATATGGCTACAATAGAAATCAGCTTACGTGCTACATCAAAGGTATTGTTGGGCAGGGACATCAACTTATACGAGCTATCATAAAAAGGTAGAAATCTTTCACAACCCATCTGAAAGAAAACTACAAAAGGGAAGGTGGGAAAGGGCAGCTTGTTGTAGAGGAGCAGCAGGGTACTCGGACTCGCTACAGGCGCGCTCCGAGAAATCACGGAAATGCCTTCAAAACGCCGCAGGGATTCTCCACACCTGTCCCTTTCCCAGCAACTCGGAAKAGACGTTTTTCCATTAGTGGGGAGGAAATGACTTATTGTGCGCTAATGTGAAAGCAGTAATTTTACCCAGCGGCCTGAGAGGGCAGGGAGCTGCCGGGAGGAGAGGCTCCCGCTGTGCGGGAGGCGGCGGCTGGGCTGCCCGGCACCGCGGGCACCGCGGGCACCGCGTCCCGGCAGCGGCCTGGCGAGCACCACGCGCTGCCGGGCGGCTTGCCGCGCTGAGGCCAGGCAGCCTGCAAGGCACGGGCTCTTGCACAGCAGCTCCACAGGCTGCTTTTCCCGCACTAGTAGGGCTGCTCTCAAGGTTTTCGTACCCTAGAGGTTCCCAGACTGTGCACGGACGCATCCGTGCGAGTGGGAGGGTGATGGTCACGTGAGGCAAGGAGGAAGAGGGAGAGGGGAGATGAATCTCAGAAGCGAGTGCAGTACTCACATTCAGCAAGCACCAGAAGAGACAGAAGAKGCAGGGGTGGAAGTGATGAACAGCAGGGAGAAAAGGAAAGAGATAGGAGGTGAAAAGARAAAGAAATTGAAAATGATGCAGAAGCTGTGGGCTGTATTCTCCTTTAGAAATGAAAAAAAAAAGATGAAAAGGAACAAAATGAAGAAAAAATTTAGTAAACAGCTACTCCTGCGGTAAATAATTTATCAGGTAGTTATCCAAAAAAGGCCATGTAAGTATTTACAGCTTCTTTGCAGATGTTTGATCCAGACAACTAGAAATCCTATTTTTAAAAATCCCTACAACTATTTAAACAAAATTGCTTTACTCATGTCGGATGCAATCCTGTGTAACACGCTGCAGGGGACCCTGCGCGTGCAGCGGGGTTGGACTCTAAAGGCCCCTTGCAGGTTTATTTAACCAGGAACACGAGATTTCTGCAACTAAGGGCAGAACAGCACCAAGTGCGCACTAGCACAGTGGAGCTGCTCCAAACCTGCAGCTGCACCAGGCCTTACGCCCTGGTCCGGATCCCTCCGTGCCAGGAGGCGACTCAGTTGYTCTCCCTGGTCTGTCAGCAGACAACGGCATGGAAGGTTTCCCTACTTGTRCAAGCCAAAACATCAGTCCAGTTAACCAGCTAAATGTCACAGATTGAGCAACCTGTCTGATTTTGCTTAAAACCCAAGAGCACGCGGTGTGATTGCTCCAATACGGCACAGAAGCAGCAATGAGAAAGTCAAGCCAAAGCCTCTAGCACAGCTTTCACCTAGCAAGTCCTTCTCCTTGCAAGTGTTTTACCTCAGTCGCACTCGGATCGCTGCCCTCCCGAGTTCCCCAGGCTCTGTGTCCCGGCCGGCTCCGCGGCAGGACCCTCGAGCGGAACAGGCAGGTGCCCACGACGGGCCCACCACACGGCCCCAGCACGGCCCGGGGGCGGCAGAGCTCATTGCGCCGCACCAGCAGGATGGCGACAGCCGCTCCTGCAGGGGCCACCTTGCCACCACGCACATCCCAGGGATCAGCTCCCAAAACGTCAGTTAGGAACAGGACAGCTGCCGCCTTCCCTCCCAAAGCAGCGAGGGCTGCTCCGGGAGAGAGCTCCCAAGTTTCCTCTCGCTAGGAGTTTCAATTTTCCAGTCCATAGGTCCAGTCTATATTTCAAGCTTTTAGATGAGCTACAGAGTCATAGCAGATACAGTGCATGCCAGGGAGATCAATAAAAGATTAGGATTCAATTAATAAATATTTTTTCTGCCTTCTACCTTGCATTGAGCAAGATTGAGCAGAGCTGAGACTCTGCCAACTGCAAACTGGCTCTTCATTGCTGTGAGCACAGAGGCTGTTTGTGACCTTCTAAAATAAACAAGTGAACGCAAGTGCCAAGTAGAAGTCAGCAGATTTCTCAGATAGAGCTGGTGCCTGGATTGCGCACCCAGGTGCAAGAATTACAAATTTACTTTCAAAGTAATGGGTTATTATTTTAAATTTTTAGAGAAAGATTAAAAATCAAACACAATAGTCCCCAAATGCATTGCAACGCCCCATCCTGATATCTGTCCAGTCAGTTCTCCCACAAACCCCAGAATTTCTGAATATACAAGATTTCTTCATTTCTGCTCCAATACTAACTGTCTTAAAAGGGACTAAATGCAGTGCAAGGACTCAGCTCTGCAGAGAGCTCGCGCTCCTCGCGGAGCCTTCGTCTCTCGCGGCAGGACGGACTCGGCCAGCCACAGAAGCTGGTCTCTCCCGCGGGGCCGGGGCGCCACAGCCCCTGCCTCAGCGCGGGCCCTCACTCTCTCCCTCAGCCTCTGTTCTATACAAATCACAGTCAGCCTCTGCAGCACAGTAAATACTTCTCGGCAGCAAGTCCCGCTGTGCAGACAGAGTGCAGGAGGTTTTAGCCAGGCCAAGCAGCAGAGTGCCTGAAGCAGCTGATGGCTGGGGCTGCACCACACTCAACCGTTCTGTCTTGGCTGACTGTATTTGAAGTTAATCATTGTGTGCTGCGAGCTACGTGACTTCAAATGACATCTCTAATATCCATGGCAACTTCTTAAAAAGATGATCAACCCCAGGCCCGCCAATGAAAACACACGCGTGCTTGTCCATATGGCACAGGAATACACACGCGTAGCGCCTCTCCGAAGCGACAAAGCACACCATTCATTGCTTAGGGAGACGTCCCTTTTCACACACGGTGCTCCACAAATTCTTGTCACACAGCTAACTGCTACACAGTCTCCAGTTTCCAAGGAGAAGCGATGCTGTTCAAYTGCTCTTACAGAGCCACAGAAAACTCCCATCCCAAATCCCTTTTGTTCCCGGACCTCCTTAAGAGCCGTGCAGTCGATGAGCACAGAAGCCCAACTCCAAAATATGCTGCTATGGCTCTGTTTCAACATTCAACTCTTCCTCTGCTCCAATGCAAGCCAAACTACACAGACAGGATCAATACAATGTATTTATAGTAGTATAGGCTGAAAACTGGTTCCAGCTTCTAATTTTACCTAAGGATTATTCTGTGAAGGGCCAAAGTAGGCAGCAGTAATTCACAAGGGAAAATCACTAGTATTTTGTGATCACACACAAGAAACGCAGATGATCTAAATGGGATTTAAGTCTTAACCTCATCCTTTCTAGAGGGCAGTAACTGATGTCTTGGTWCAGCTTCCTGTCTTGCACTTTTGCTTATCCCTAACTTCCCCTTCCTTTTCCTCCACCTTGCCTAAATATCGCAAATAGATATAAATATATAAAACACACACATATACAGGTTGGTCATGCAAACCACTAGAAGTGGGCCTGTCACAACAGTGTAATACTGGCAGGATTTTTAATAGCACATGCTGTGGTTCTGGGGTTCACTTCATTTTTCTGTAAAGTTTTTATGCACTTTACCTTTTAAATACGTTGTTCCTTCCTCTCAGCTCTCGAAAAGCTTTAAAAAAAAATCAATTTGACCAAATCCTATATAATTCTTTATTCAACATTAAAACATTATCAAAAAGACTTAAAAGCTACTGTCATTACTGTCCATATGTCCAGACCCAAAAGCAGCTCACAATCTCATGAAGCCTTCATTCCTTTCAGCTATATTTTTCAGCTGTACCTTAGAAACTGCATTGGAAACAGCCGTATGGATTCTGTGGCACAGCTAAGGTAAGTTATTTTGTGATACAACAGAAAAAGAAAACAAACATCGAAATACATTTTTTAAGAGCATAAAACATCTCTTGTAAAGAGTAATTACTGAGGGATGTCTTATATGTGACAAGGTAAAAGCATAGAGAGTTGCTTGAAACCACTTAAAAATTTGACTAATTCATCCGACAGTTGGAGCCAACACTGGGAAGGCAACAGAGCAGCTAGCCAACAATTCTTGGCTTGTTCTCATCAGTGCAAAACCCATATCAAAAATATTACTGTTGAAGAGCTTTAGAACAGTAATCATAATTTACCAAGATTAAACATTCATGTGAAAGCAAAGAARGAGAAAAAAATCCGACTGTAGCTGTATTTAGTTTCAAAAAAGGGGGAATTACATGCAATTATGAAGCTTTTTAGAAGAGCAAAAATCCTTGAAGGCAGCATGAAAAGTATTCAAAGACACTACCCCATATGTCTTTCGCATATGTGACCATATGCACAGCACTTACTGAGAGGGACTTCTGAAAGACAGAAACAAATTTGGCCCAAGTACACAACAGCTGTAAGGAAGCCACTAAAACCTCGACAAAACTAAAGCTGCATCCAAAAAAGAACAAAGACCTTATATTCAGGAAAGTTAGATGCAACAGCCCAAGAAGTCCAGCTAAAAGAGTGAAGAGCACCTGGAAGCAGCATAAACCTGAAACCTAGAAAAGACCTTCCAAAGGCATGACAAGCCTTTAAAATGCCCAAAGCGCCACTCCAGACGACATCCCTGCTCACTGTAATCCAGTGCCATCATCCYACCTCACAGACACCAGCAGAGGACTCACCAGAGATAGAAGGGTTGTGTTCACAAAACTCTGAAGTAACTGAGGATAAAAGAGCCAACCCACGGAGTTGCTTAGAACTGCCCTAGCATTACAAGAGCAGGAAGATGGTCAACATCACGCTAATACTTAAAAAAGATCTTAAAACAATCTAATAACTAGTAAACAACAAAGCTGGCAGCCAAGCAGATAGACAGACACAGACAGGTTAATATAAAGTATTACAAAGACAGTAACTACCTCTTAAAAAGTTATCACTGGCTTTTGTAGAGAGATGTTCTACTCTCAGGTTCACAGTTTCACACATCAGCAAGGAGAATCCATTGACACTTCTCGGAGATCGGCCAGCCTGTATTTAGCAGAGCTACAATAAAGGTTCTTGGGGATCTCCTTGTACACACACAAATAAACAAATATGTAAAATTAACAACTTGTAAGAAAGAGAAAGAAATGGACAGACACATAGATCCCATGCGGTTCTGTTGCTCCCTAAGAGCAACTGAATAGCAAGGAAGTGAAATTTGCTAAGATTAATCTATTTGCCACAGTAAAAATAAGGCCAGCTTGCACATTGCTACGAAAGGACTCCATTACTGGGCATGTCCATTCAAGAAAGCAGCACACGACCTTCAAGGTAAAGTGGAGGATGTTCTACCCAGGGAAAGAACATTGACTTCAAACAGGGATAGTTCTGAGCACTACATAAAAGTCACSTCAGTGTTCAATAACAACAAAAAGGGCATAGATAGGAAAAGAATAGGCATCGGGACAGAAAAACACCATCACCATTACACTCCTGTAGAACCCAAATTGCACTCCTGTCTGGAGCACTAGTCTAGCACTTTCACGTCTGGAAAGGAAGCATAATGAAGATGATCAAAAGTATAAAAGAGCGTCCCTATGAGTAACAACCAACAAGTAGCTCTACGGTTTTCAAAAGAACAGTGAGAGAGACAGGAATAAAGGCCTTTTATAAAAATCACAACTGGAACTGAAAATACAAGTACACAATGTTTTTTTTAACTATCTTTTCCAATTCAAGCTTTTGAAAGCCTCAAATTAACCGATAAAAAGTCAGATTCAAATCAGAGATACCTCTCACAACCAAGCTAAGCTGGGGAACTAGGATTGTTTATTTTAAAGTGCAATCATAYTGGTGTTATTCAAATAGGAATACCCATAGGGAGGGGCGGACTTTCTTCCCAGCCAGCCAGCCTGGACATACCCTAACAACCTGGAAACCCCAAGTACCTGGGGGCATTGCGCTGTGCCCAGGGAGCAGCGGGATGCTCCCTCCTGCAACATCCCATCTCTGCATCACCACAGGTGTTTTCTCACACACATCTGTAAGAATCTCAGGTAGGAACGAGGGAAGTCTGCTTGATGGTATTATCACTTGCTTAATTACCAAGAAAGCAAGCGTTCTACCTCCTTCGACAGAAATTCTCTGCACAGCACAGAAGACGGCTACTCTGAAGCACATAGGTAGGAGAGACAGAATGCRTTAAAGGATAAAGCCAAAACATACGGAGAGTTCATTCCACCAGAGACACCCGATGGATCATACTCACAATTTGGCCCCCTAACTTAGAGCTTCTGAGTAGCACACAAATGAGGTGTCCGGAGCAGATCAGAGCAGGTTATCTGTACAACTTCCACACTACCTGAAAGCAGCCTAAACAAGAGGGGGATAGGATGTGGTTTAGCAAGCAGGCTAGCAAGGAGAAAGGAAATTAAGCTCCTCAAGGGTCATTTTCAAATTTTGAAGGAAACACCTGTGGCACAGCTGGCTAGTGACAAACATTTTGTGTAGCAAACTGCTTGACAAGAAGTAACCACGTCTGCAGACTCTGAGCAAACCCTAAAGGCAGAGGGAAAAACAAACAAAAAGATAACTGATTTTCATTGTAAAACACCAGGAACTTTAGCCTCAGTGTTTCAGCCAGTGATTCTGCTTTTCTAATCGTTTAGTTATTAAAAGACAGTCTTGAACTTTGGTCTCTTCAAAAAGAGCAAAGTAAAATACTGACACAGAAACAGCATACCCTGGGATGGTGGTTGGACTACGACAGCCTGAAAGTCCTAAACAAGACTAAAAACAACCCGTCTGTGGAAAAAGCCTCAGTTAATATTTATTCAAAGAACACCAAGCAGCACAGACACGTCAGGAGAGAGCAGCACAGTTGGAAACTGCAGACCCAGATCATCATTTTTCTTAGAAGTTTCATTAAGTCATTTTTCAAGATGCTGTTAGACACAGCTTTTGTCCAGGAGCCTTCCYGGTGCCTCTGAGGGCTCCTTTTGTTATAATTCCATTGTACAGTCGCTACAACTASATGGCTTGTCTGCCATCTGTCCCCTCCGCAAATGCTACGCGTTCTGTTCCAAACCACCAGGACCATCTGCAATTAATAAGTTGCCAGCGCGGCTGTATACATATATAATTTCACATGTTCAGAGTTAGCATTTTTCCTCTATTTGGCAACAAGCACTGCCAAATATTTCGACCCAAACCCCAGAAAACACGGCAGCCCGTGGGTGCGGCCGGCCCCGCCAGGGCAGCGTGGCGCGGGGCCGCACGAGGACACCCGTGCCCACGGCGGCAGTGGGGCGCCCGTGAGAGAGAGCGGAACTTCGCACCCCCCACGGCCGCAGTTTTAGGGGCGGCGGAGACGCGCCCCGACGTCCCGCACCGCGCGGGACAGCGACGCGCCCCGGGACCCACGCGGGGCCGCCGGGCGGGCTCGCTCGCTGCCCGCCCCCGCC